AGGACACAGCCAGGGTCCCTCTGAGCCCTGTCCCTGCACAAGGACATGGCTGAGCTCCCTCTGAGCCCTGTCCCTGCATAAGGACACAGCCAGGGTCCCTCTGGGCCCTGTCCCAGAGCTGAAGCTGGCCCATGAGCAGCTCCCAGCCCCAGAGGTTCCTCCCTGGGCTCATTCCCACCTGCAGAGCTGCAGAAGGAGCAGCTCCAACCCCTCCTGCTCCCCCCACCCAGCCCCTGGCTGAGCCCTTTTGTAATCAGAGCTCTCACAATTTCTCCATCTAATCCAAAAATCACTTTTCCTGTTGTGGCTCCGTCCCAGCGCCTCAATCTTTTGATAAGAGGCAATGGCTGACCCCGGGCTCGTGCCTTTAATGTCACCTCATTTATCCAGAGCGTGGGGACACTCCTGGGGGGCCACCACACTCCCCTTGTCCTGGCCCTTATTAACCAGCACCAGATGTAGATGACTCTCTTTAATCATCCAATTACGTTTCTGCTCTCAGACAACATTTTTGCCGTGAAGCAGAGAAAACTTCTTAAGGAAATTAAATGCCCATGCCACAGCCACTTGGATTTATCTGTGCTCTGCAGCAGCACATTGAAGAAGGAAAAAGGAAAAAAAAAAAAAAAAAGGTTAATGTTTATATAAAACTTTGAAGTATTTTCAGAGAAAAAATAAAAAAAAAAATCCATTTTTCTCCTGTCAACAGGGCTCTTTCATTCTAGTTGCCTTTCCCTTTTATTTATTTCATTTTTTTTTTTTTCAAGAAAAGAAAAAGAAAAATCCAGAGAGGGCAACAGCCCAGAGAAAATAAATAATATATAAACGGAGGGAGATCAGATATTGCTGTATCAGTGAGGAACAGCCGGTATTACGCACGTAAGGACGGATTTTTTCCCCCTCCTTTCCCCCCCTTCTTTTTAATAAACTCTCAGTATCCACACAACGTCTTTAAGAAAATGAAATCCTTTTGCTGTGGGCCACGGCGCTGGAAGAAATAGTCCCCAGTGCTGTTATCAGTGCTTTCAAGCTTTAACTCTGAATCAAAGGCGACAATTAATAAAGTCGCCCCCGCCAGGAATGGAAAGGAGGAAAGCTAAATATTTGAAACTGGGTGAACAAATGTCAGGGTGTTTTTAAATAAAATCCTTTTACAGTTATCACAGCGAGCAGACCTGATATCCCTGTCTAATTCAATTTCAATTTGCGCCCCATGGGAGATAGGGAAGAAAAGGTTGCAATGCTGTCTTTGGGTTGATATGTTCTTTTCTCCTTCAGGAAGCAGGCACGAGAGAGGAAGGGGAGGAGGGCGAGGGGAGAGAGGAGGAGGATTCAAATACCAATAGAATATGATTTTTTTTTTTTCCAGCTGGATCCTTCCAGAAGGCAGATGTGATGTGGGGAATGTTGAAACGCTGATTTGTTGTGAATTCACCTGGAAAACGGAGCCGAGGAGGGAAGTGCAGCCAGGCTGTTTGTGTGGGAATAAATATTCCTGGTGGGGAGCAGAACTCACTGAGTGTTGATGCCAAGAGCAACACACACTCCTGAGGCATCTTTCCCCTCCAAAAACCTGCAAACCAGCCAACTGCACCAATTATCCCCAGCTCCACAGAGAGCCTGGCAGGTGCTCCCACCCTGTCCCTCACTCCTTGTGTTTAGACCCTGCTGCTCCTGTATTTTTATTAAAGGAATGTGCCCTTTAATAAAAATAAAACCCCCCAGCCTTATGGATCAATAAAATTATTAACAAACTGCCAGGTGGAATCATGGAATGGTTTGGGTTGGAAGGGACATGAAAGCTCATCCAGTGCCACCCCTGCCATGGCAGGGACACCTTCACTGTCCCAGGTGCCCCAAGCCCTGTCCAGGCTGGCCTTGGGCACTGCCAGGGATGCAGGGGCAGCCACAGCAGTTCTGGGCACCTGTGCCAGGGCCTGCCCACCCTCACAGGGAGGAATCCCTTCCCAATATCCCACCTAACCCTGCTCTCTGGCAGTGGGAGCCATTCCCCCCTGTCCTGGCACTATCTGCCCATACAAAAATCTCTTTCCCTCCTTCCCAAGGCACTGCAAGGCTGCAGTGAGGTCTCCCTGGAGCATTCCCATCAGCAGACAGAGCTTTCCACACAATATCTGGATTTCAGTGGCCAGAGACACAAACCCTCCTTTCCTGGCTGCAGCTGTTCCACCTGAAACAGCTCCTGGCCCTTCCCTTGCTCCTCGAACCCCTGCCCTGGCAGCAAACCCAGCACAGGAAGGACTTGACCCTTCAGCTTTGTGCTGAAGTTCAGAACTCCCAAACCTTTGCTTCCTTCAACTCTGGACAAGTAGGAGCAATGAGAGACTTTGAAGCAGCTTTCCCACATTTCACAGCTACCTGGAGTGCACTGGGGCTGAGCAGTTAAATCTCCTCCAGAGGATGGTGCAGCTACAGCAAGGTACAGAAAAAAAAAGCCCAAAATGCAGTGGTGGACACAAGTCTCTCACCTGTGGTCAGGGCTGCTGAGGAGCAGTGCAGGAGCCTCGAAGGCAAGAACACAAGCAGAAAACACAGGTGAGTTTCTATCACAGTTCCTGAGCAGCAGATAAGGAGGATTTGAAGCTGAGCACGTGCTGAAGGCTGACACTGGCGTGGTGGAGGAGAAATTTTGGGTGCATCCCAAAACCTGGGAGCTCCAGGCACAGCTCAGCTGCCCAGCCCACCCTGCACACACAGCTCTGCCTCTTCCCAGGAATTCCAGCAGCAGCTCCCAAAATCTACCTGGGAGAGAGGTCCCAGCCAGGCAGAAAAGAAGCAGGCACAAGGATTTCTCTCTCCTCCTGTTCTTAATTATCCTCAGAGTTACTACAATGGAAAGAATTTTTAAATTTGGGCATTTTCTCGTCCCCATTTATAATGCATGTTTACTTTTAGCACATTATTTAGTTTGGACCCAGCAAACAAAACACTCAGCTGCAGTTTCATGTTCTCCCTTGCTAGCCCAGGGCTGTTGTACTTGGCTTGCAAAGGCTTTATGGAAATGTTTAAATTTAAACAAAACGACTGTTTTCATTTCAAATTAGAAAAATAATAAACCATCCTTGGTAGGTTTGGTGAACTCTCGAAAAATAATGAAACCAAACCACCCTCCTGCCCTCAGCTGCAGATCTGAGCTGCCTCATGGTCCCTCCTAAATGTAAATGATAAATTATCATTAGCCTGCCTCAATTAAACCACCCCAATGGAATGCAACCTCCACAAATGTTTTATTTATGACCAGTTTGCAGGCTGGAGCACAGAGCCCAGCTAATGAAGGATCACTTTCTGCAGGGCTCAGGGATGCTCACCAGGGGGAGGGGGCTCTGCTGTCCCTGGGATCCTGCAGCAGGACTGATTGCATCCTTCTGTAATGAGAGCTGGGACAAGGGGGGCTGGCAGGGCCACTGGGGGGTTATTCTGAAGTGATCAGATCTGCATTTGTGCACAGGCAGCACACAGCAATCGTGTGGTGTCTGAACCTCCCTGAGTGGGACTTTCATCAAGCACCAAAGTGAGAGATGTGAGGGTCAAACCCTTCAGTACCTCAGGGCATGGGGAATGGGGAGCAAATTCCTGCTCTTTATGCTCCAGTTTGTTCAGACACATGAGAAATATTGAGGTCCAAAAGACTAAAGAGGTTAAAAAGAGCAGGAAGACAAGAGCAGAGCCTCACAGCAAAACTGAGCACAAATTTTAACGCAAATTTGCATTAAAATGGCACAGCTGTCTGGGACAGCAGCAGCAGCTCCTTATTCACACAAACACCTGGGCTTGGGGCATGGTAAAAGTGTGAAGCAGAGCCCCCTGAGCCCAGCAAGGAGCCCTCCATCCCTGCAGCCCCCCAGGCACAGACTCACCCCTCCTGCAGGGATGTGGCCGGGCCACCAGGCGATGGCCGGCTCCCTCATGCCACCCTCGAAGGTGGTTTGTTTGCCACACAGGAAAGGCCCATTGCTTCCTCCTAGGGACAGAAAAACAGCCTTAAACCCCACAAAACACCAGCATTTCACAGGACACTGTCACCCAGGCTGGTTTGAAATGATTTCTCATTTCTGCATGGATGCTTCTCCAAAGGACACGGCCAGAGTTGGGTTTTTGTCATTATTTCTTTGTTTGTTGTGTTGTGTTTGTGGTTTTTTTTTTTTTCAATATCCATTTGTGATGAAATTTTAAGAGTGTCTTTTCATCACAGGGAGATGGTGACAGTTAAACACACCTGGCTATCAACAACCAAATGAAAACCAAACCCCAAACAAACAGGAAATACCTCACTGGTGTTGTCCTTTCCTCTAAGGGTGTTAACTGCTGTCTGTAACCAAAGGAAATCTGACACTTTCAGGCAGAAATAGCATTTTTTCATAATGATTTTAAATTTTATAGTACCAGAACAATATTAGATGAAGGTATAAGAGACAGAAAAATAATCCTGCATTCCCTGAATGGTCACTCAGAGATGGCCAGGGCTTTGCAGGAATATCTGGAGTTTTAACCCAGCCCTGGAGCTCAGCTGGCCAAGGAACAATCAGGGAGGTCTCATAACTGATTCCAGGTCACACAAAGTCAAAGCCAGTGGCTGAGCTGAAATCAGAACTCAGGTTACTCCCTGCTCTGTGGTTCAATAACCACAAGCCAAGCCTGGCTCCAAAGAGAAGAGAGCAGGTTCTAAAATCAATTTGCAGTGATTTGTTACAGAGAAACCATCACTGAAACAAGAAAATTTCTTAGCTAACAAAACTCGTTTCTCTTCTTGATATTTTTCATGAGAGCTAAAGAATGAGGGACTCTTGAAGTGTCTCTAATTGCTCAGAAGGCTGAAATATGCATTTGGCAGATGGAGAGTAAACACCCTGCTAAGTTACTGAGCCTGGCTCCCAATAAATTACAGAATATTCCCTCCCTGACAGTGCAAATACACACAGGTAACAGCAACACTGGGGCAGGAAAAATTCCATTTGGCCAAGGACACCTCCTCCAACAGTGACCAGAAGCACTGCACATAAATTATTCCAAACATAAATACTCTGTCTTTTGAGGCTTCTCCTACCTCATAACACAGACTCCACACACAGGGATTTTTTCTCCTCAGAGAGAGATTAAAGCCTTGATTTCCCAAGGCCAGGTTGGTTCAGCTGAGCCTCACCTTGCTTGGGAGCTGAAATGAGAGCAGCCCCGTTATCAGAGGTGAAGAACACAAAGGTGTTCTCACTGATGCCCAGCTGCTGGAGGTGCTTCAGGATTTTCCCAACGCTGTCATCAATCTCCCTCACAGCATCCCCATACCTGAGGCAAAAGGAGATGAAAACACTCAGAGCAGCAAGGAAGGGTCAGCACAATGAGTTCAGTGGATTTCATTTGTAGCTGTGCTGCAGAAATCCTTCTCATGCATCAGGTTTTCTGCTGCCACTGCAAACCTTTGTTTGCAGCCCTTGGGTACTGAGGGTCAGGGTTTGCTCAGGTGTGAGCCTTGAACTCTTGGACAGAGGAATTCAGCCATAAAATTCACAAACAGGCAAACCCACCTTGCCACAGACTGGGAGGTAATAACATGGCTTTCCTTATGGTTAGGAACTTTGAAGCAACACTCCCAGTGTCTACAGAGCTCTTTGCCTCCTCCAAACTGCATTTTTAGGAGTGTTTTCTATTTGCTGGTCCCATTTATAGGCTTTTAAAAGAGGCACTGATCATACAAAAGCCTCCTAAAAATTCATCTGTGCCACAGACAGCATTTCACTCCTCACACAACTGGCACAGGAGCTCAGAGGCCCCCTCCTCCCCCTGGGGTCATGTGAGCTTCACTTCAGATTCAAGCCAAATTATGAAACAACAATTCAAGCAAATAATGCATTTCAGCACACACACACTTGAGGGGTGATCCATGCCTTGGATCTACCAAGCACTGCTCAGGTTGGCTGTGGCAGCTGCAGGAGGAATTCATTAAAACAACCCCAAAAAGCAGAACTTACAGCCCTCTCTGACTCGTGCCCAGGAACTGTTTGGAGGCATAAACAGGAGCGTGGGTAGCATCAATTGCCCAGTATAAAAAGAATGGCTGCTGGCTGGCCTGCTGCTTGCTAATAAAATCCAGAGCTTCCTGTAAACAACAATAAAAATGAATTTATCCTCTGCCATCAAAATTTCTCCAAAAAAAAAAAAAGCAGAAAGTCACCTTGGCTTAGAAGCCAGCACTAAAATAGTACCTGCAGGTAGAGCTGAGTCAAGTTGGATTCACCTGTCTTCAGATCAATTTTGAAATCTTCATAGTATCTTAAGATAAAAGGAATCAGAGAGGGGAAAAAAATCAATCCTAAGGAATAAGCATCAAAAAAAGGATTTTTTTCCCCTTTTATGGACTTTTTTCCCCTTTTATGGATTTTTTTCCCCTGTGTAAGGAGGTGACAAACAAGTCATAGTTACTCTTCAGATATTAGAAATATGTCACCATAATTGTTCTTATGGGAGAAAGTGGTGACAGAGCTTGATGCAAATTAATGACTTCAAGTTTTGGACAAACCTGAGGGACTGGCCTTTTGCTGTAGGGGGCAAAATGCTTTAAAATCTCCTGGTGATTCATAAAGAGCTGGTTGAAATGTGAATAAAATTTCAGAAGCACACAACAACTTTCAGTGAGACAGAGAAGTGCTGGAAGCAGAACCTGGGCTGCTTTGGAAACATTATTTCAGAGGGCAGAGAAGGGCCTGGGGAAGTGCTCAGGGGAGTTACAGCAGTGAAATGAGACAACAGCAGAGTGAAAAATGAATGGAAAAGAAGGGCCCAGACTGCAGACTGGGAGCAGGGATGGAGCTATGCAAACACACAAAAAGTTATTCCAAACAGGAAGAGAAGGAACAAAGAGGTCTTTCAGTGCAGAATGGGAGCAGCTTCCAAGAGTGGAAGCCTTGATGGTGCCAGGGATGAGCAAACAGCTCTGGCAGGGCAGCTCCACATCCCTGCACCATCCACAGGACACTTCCAGGCTGGTCACAGTGTTGGGACCTTTATGAACCACAGAACCAGGGGATCCCAGAATGGCCTGGCTTGGATGGAGCCCTGAAGCCCATGCAGGTGTGAAGTGGCAGCAGGGAGAGCCCAGAGCAGCTCAGAGGCAGCCCAGGAGCTGGGTTATGTAGGAGTGATGGGGGTAGGATGGTGGGGATGGACAGAGATGAGAGATCTCTGGAGCCACGTCAGGAATTTGGGGTTTTTGCAAAGGGCCTGGATGCAGGGCCCTGCTGGGAACTGCCAGCCACAGCTGGAGCAGGACTGAGAGAGAGAAAGAGAGGGGTAAAGAGAGGGAAGGCAAGAGTGCAGTAAAGAGGATGAGAGAGAGAGGTTCCTGTTACAATACCATAAATCTTCTTCTGTGTTGAATACTCCAATTCTCACTAACCAATCCAGTACAAGATACAAATCCTACAGAATTTACATACAGCCTATAAGAATCATTACATCACCATAGTTACATTTTAAACCATAAAAACTCCTCCTTGGGCCCCTTCTGCCAAGCTGTAGGGTCTGCTCTGACCCTTGGAGCTCTCTGCAAGCAGAGGGTGTTGTTCCATCAAAAGGGGATCACCTTCAGTGGCCACATCATTGTTTTCCAATTGTTCAGTGGCTAAGGTATCTCAAAGCTTGCTTTCACTTCAACCTTGCTCATATTTCCATATTCTCACAATCTTTTGCCAGGCAAT